TAGGATGTTTTCGTTTGGACTGTTTTCAGTCCCAGACCACAATCAAACAACAAACCAGAACAGACTTAAACAGACCAAATCAGACCAGCAAATTTCAGTCCAAAAGAAAACATCCTTAGTTTGAATTATGTCAATGTCCCCCCCTCCCTCCTATTTTTAAGTACTTTGGTCTGTAACTGAATGCGCTGCACCTCATTTTTATCGGTTACGGGTCCAATTTCGGGTGATTCGAAATGGGATTTATGCCCAAATCTATACAAAAGGCAAGAACAGTAATTGGGGGTCTGTTGACCAGATTTTTTGTGGCCCCGGTTCTGATTCAGTACTGGTAATTCTAATTGGTTTTAGGCAAAGTAATCTGACGGTGCTAGACTGGTTTGGATTCCGAACCAGAAACATGTCCACCCAGGTGGGCTAATTACATTCTGCCAGGCAAAATATGGGTTGCACTTTGCGCTTGTCACTCCAATGGTTTTAATCTTTTTGCTCATTGCCCTCATGTACTCGTTTTTTGCTGTTAAATCACGACGATTCATTCACGAGAATGATATAACAGAAAAAGCTTACGTTCACTGCTTGCTCCAATGCTAAACTGATATTTTTGTGGGATTGTTTATTTGGTTTCAGATGCATAAGCTCTGTGAAAGCAGCATTGGCGTCAGATTTAGATTATGTCATCTAAAGGCCGTCTCTGTCCCTGAATTAAAAACTGAATTTTTTCGTTCATTTCTCATGTTCTCTGTTATGCATTCTAATGAACGTTTGAATTCATTAAAGGGCACATTACTTTTACTTCTATATATGTTCATTTATAATGGGGCGTAGTTGGGACTTGGGTGAGAGCTTTATACACTTGCTAGATTAAAACCCCATTTCCTATTACATTGGGTAATTGTCCGAATCGGGCAATGATGCCATTCTAGGCTTTGCCTTAGAGAAGGAAGATATAGAAATTTGCAATATATAAGTTCTAGAACTCCTACAAGTGAAGAGATTTATTCAATTATAAGGAAAAAAACGTTAACACCAATTGGACGGATTGATGAGCAATACATTCTTGAGTCACGATGGTGGAACATTTTTAGCAGTCATGCTTGGCTTTTGTCTATTGTGCTCACATTTCTTATTTGAAATAACAAATACTGAAATACTCCGACCATTTGTAAAAAAAATAACAAATACTTTACGTAGTATTTGATACTAGACATTTTGTACTATAAATTGAATTTAGTGTTACATTTTTCATTATTGAATAAACATATCAAAAGTTACTCATCTTCGAATAGTAATCATAAATAATCTTAACTTGTTAATAGTTTCATAAGATGTGACAGTAAGTTAACAAGGTTTTTTTTAATAGGGAAAGTAAGTTAACAAAGTTAAGCGGAGGTTCCCCTTCGTGAAGTAATTGGATGATACGGATTTCCATTTTCCAGTGGATTTTTTAGGAAATGCGTATAAATAGAGATTATTGGTATTACTTTTGACTAGAAATATAAACCAAAATGACATTAGAATATTTACCAATAAATAAAACAAATACTACCTCCGTTCTTAAATAAATGCAACATATGAAAATTTACACTATTAATGTCTTCTACTTTGACTACGTTTTATTTATTAATGTATTAATAATTTTTTATGAAAAAAATATTGTTAAATTTGTCTCATTGTAAATTTTCAAAATCTAAATTTTTTAATTTTTTTATTAATATAAAATTATATATATTAATGGTCAAAGTTGTGTCTCGGCAAGTGTGAAATGTTGACCGTTGCATTTATTTAAGAACGGAGGAAGTACAAAATAACTATTATGAATCAATATATTATTGGCATTCATATTCGAGTACTTAATTGATATAATCCCTATAATCATCATTATCATCTCCCATTTTGATTTTGTAGATAGAATATGAAAATGAAGATCGTATGTATGAAAGTCTTCCAAAAATGGGGAAAATAAATAGGGAAAATGGAAACTAATAATCCAACCTTTTAGCGGTCTTCTTACAATAGTCTCACCTTTTCGTTATTCATGAATAATCCAACCTTTGCACCTCATCTTCATTCACTGGTCCCTAACCGGTTAATGACCTGTTATTCCAAGTTATTTTCTTATTTTTGCAAACCATTATACCATAAATCTCACCTTTCACAATGATAATATTTTGAAAAGATAAGATAATAACTTGGAATAACAGGTCATTAACCGGTCAGGGACCAGCGAATGAAGATGAGGTGCAAAGGTTGGATTATTCTTGAATAACGAAAAAGTGAGACTATTGTAAGAAAACCGCTAAAAAGTTGGATTATTAGTTTCCACTTTCCCAAATAAATAAAGGGATTTTGAGACAACACAAGTCTGTGTCATTTACATCCCCAGGTTCCTCAGCTCAAAGAAGTGATTTCTAGTTATGAAGCATAAGAAAAAGTTAGCAGATAACAATTATATAAAAATGTTAAAACTCCTAAGACGTCTCAGTGAAAATTAGAATAGCTTCAGCAGAGATGCTGAGCTATGAGTATGGAGTACTTTGTATAATCATACAATATTTGTTGATAGCATAGGTTTCATACTTTCATCTGTTGTTACATGAACTACAAGATAATTCAATATGAAACTTCAAGCTTTAATCTTGTATTAGAGCCATTTTCAATAAAAATAAATATATTGTATTACAGCCCGAAACTCACTCAGGGTCTATTTGCAACAACTTCTGCTTTTAAAAAGTGCTTTTTTAATGAAATGGGGAGAAGTGATTAAATAAAAGTTGATAGTGTTTGAGAAAAAAGTGATTTTGAAAAGTAAAAGTGGGTAGTGTTTGGTAAAGTAGGTGCTTTTTTGTGTAAAATAAAAAGTAAAAGCACTTTTGACGCGGAAGCCGAGAAAAATAAAAGTTGTAGTGTTTGGGAAAGTAAGTGTTTTTTTAAAGTCAAAAGGTGAGAAGTGCTTTTTTAAAAGTAGTTGCAAACCAACCCTCAATCCGTAGTTATTGGCTTATTGCTCGGGCTCCTTATGAAATATTACTCTACCTAAAAATGTATACAACTATACACTACGTTAGTTATAAATAAAGTTTCAAGATAGAAGGTTTTGGATCTCATTCAGTGGCGGACCCAGAAAATGGAGCCACGGGTCCCTTAACTAATGTAACTCATTAATATAACATTAATAATAAAAAGTAAAATATTAAAGAAATATAATGTTTCATAAATTAACGTACATCATCAAAACATTTAGTATAAAACAAAAAATTGCACACAAAAGTCATTCTATATATGCGTATGTACCTCCCTAATCCCTAAGTTTCATTTGTTGGAAATATTCTATAATAGACCGATAATACCAAAAACGTCCTTCTATGCGTATGTAACTAGGCAATCATTCAACCATTGATCGCAAATCTTGTTCCGCAACTCATTATTCATGAATTTCATACCTAAAAACGTCTATTCAACACTTGTTATAGCTATTGGGAGAACTAGAGATAACTTAATAAGTGTTTAAACGTGTTGATATGTGAGATGCTTCTTCGTTTACACCATTGCAATAGAAAGATCTATTAAACTATTCAAATAAAAAAAATCTTCTATCAGAATGAACATCTAAAATATAATTCTCAAGCTGATTCTCAAGTATCCTTTCATCAATATCGAAGCTCTTTTTGATCTCGAGGTTAAAAAGGCAGTTTTTGAAGGTAACTACGACACACCTCGTCTTGAACATTACAATGAAAATCAACAATTTTTTTCTCAATCCAAAATCAGCTTCCAAAACATGTTGTTCTTGTAGGTTTAAGTCAAATTAGTTTCAATTTCAGCAATTATACTAGATCCATATCTCATTTACTAATGACGAAATATTTGAACTAACATCTAAACTACTTCGGGTACTCTAAATTTCTCTAAATTTGGGTTCACTACCGAAATATCTTTTCATCATAAATTGTGAAATATAAAAAAAACATTAATAAATACATAAATTTATTAATTTAGTATTAACATTCAAAGAAATTTTAATAATTAACCCAAAAAATGAATTGCCCAAAGAGTATATAAAATGAATTACGCTAAGGAGATACGCATGTAGTGAATAGTGATCGATCTGCTGTGGCATGCGATTAGGGGCTTAAAACGACGTCATTTTGATTATAAAATAACAAGTTAAAATAACAAGTTAAGGGGCTCATGAAGAGTCGGACCCGCTACCTCAAGAGATGGAATGCGTCGAACATGCGCGCACTGTCGTTCCTCTACTGCAGTCTTTTGGATTACTAGTCACTTTTACTTTATATATACATTTACTAATTAATTTTGCAAAAAAAAGTATAATATATACTCCGTATATAGGTAAATTTTTAGAAGTACATCGGGTCTCAGGACCCAGTGGGACCCTTAGTGGATCCGCCCTGGTCTCATTATAAAATGACTGATCTTGATCCGAAACAAATTTTCTGAAGCTGTATTCATATATGATCAAGGGTGGATTCGGGCCGGGTCGGGCCTAGGCCCGGCGGGCTTTCTGGGATTTGGGGTTGGGCCCAAGACCGGCCCGGGTATCCACCGGGTCCGGTCCGAGTCCGGGCCGGGTCCAGGCCAGGTCAAAAGTAATTTTTTGGGCTTTACTAACTACCCCTGGCCCCTCCTCACCCCCACCCCAACCCCTCCAAAACTTCCAGCCCAACCCATTGGAATAAAAAAAATGAAAAAAACAAAAAAAAAATTGATTTGGGCCCGAACTAGGCCTGGCCGGGCCGGGTCTCAAATAGGCCTACCCGTGCCCGGTACCATTTTCCCCTCGGGCCGGGTCAAAAACTGGTACCCGGACCGCTGACCAGGCCGGTCTTGGGCCCGCACAATAGCAAGCCGGGCCGGGTCGGGCCAGTTCACGGGCCGGGTGGCCCAACCCGAGTCCACCACTGTATATGCTGTTGGTATATCTATGATTTCACTGCTAAATATTGCACACACATGCAAGTAATACCACCATTTTTTGCTAAGAAATATGTATAGAACAAGACTAATTATGAATTATGATAAGAAATAAATTCGTAGCTCACTTCAATTAGGAATTTTGTAAATGTAATAGACTCAAGACATGTAGCAGTCACACCGAGTCAACAATCCAGTAGATTCAAGCTTAAATTTGAAAATACAATTTACACATAAAATTAGATTGCATAGTTCTTCTGGGAACAGTTTTCTCGACCTAGCCATTGCAAATTAGATTGCCATTTGCAGCACCAGCCACTAGAAAAAGCAAAATCAAGAGAATGCCCTCACGCTACTCAAATTTCTTGATCAAGGAGAGGTCATTTAACATCTTCTCAATCGCCTCATCATCCAGCGAGCGTCCTCTGTTCTTAATAGACGGGACCATGGCAATGGCTTCCTCCACTGTTTCTGGGCAGAGGTTTCCCAACACACAAAGCTCAAACTCTGTAAGTTGATACCTACTCAGGATTTCCCGAACTTGTCTGACCGCATCCGGGTTCTTGTATCGACTAAAACGCTGAACGTACTGGAGCGACTTCTCGAAGACTCTGGAGCATAAAAGAAATTACATCAAAACTAACATCAACAATAAGCAATTATGACCTGTATGTGCAGTTGGACATATTTCAATACTAGAACACACCACCACACCCGCTGAGACTTGAACACATGAGAACAGATCAGACATAAACATACCAAACCATACAAAACTTGCATTACATAGTACTCCGTACTACGTACTGAAATAAAATACGTCGTACTCTGTATAATCTAAGCACAAACTTACTTAAACAGACTAGGTCAGGCAAGAGCAGAAGAGCGGGAGTTAACCAAATTATTAGCAAAACTGGACAGTATCATGAAACTTACTGAGACATATGATTTGATGGATCCTCAGACATCTGCTGAAACTGCTCATACTTGTGTTCAAGAATCAAAGCAACTTCGCAGTTCATCAGGCACTTGGCCTTGAGAAACTCTGAAACCACCATGCCAGATGCACATATGTTAAACCTAATCCAACACCAAACGCTATGTATGCTGAATGATGAAATCTTAACATTATTCCAAGAATTTCAACAAGAACTTATTTTTTTCAAGGCCTCCAGTATACACAAGGGGATAACGCAATTTATCTAGAATCTCAAGAAAATATTGGAGCATGTCTAGAATTAACAAAATACTTCGTATATCATAACAATTCAAGATATATGAGGATGTTTCTACAAATACCCCCTCCTAAAAATTTATACGAAGTATATCAGATTACGAATACCTAAATATCTGTAGATTATTATGCCGTAAGTTCATATTACCAACGAATTCGTAAATACAGATATTCCTTGTGTGTGCACACAAACAAAAATAACATTTGAGAAAGCAAACTTAGAACCCTAATTCTCTGCGCGGATTTCGCTATAAAATTTCTTTAGTTCTGATAAATTAGAATCAATTAGACCAGAAAATACAATTTCTTCAGCCCAAACATAGCGAACCATAGGAACTTTGACCTAATTTTTGTTTAAAGAAACAAGATTTCGACGCATTTAAAGGTAATGTTATTTAATATCGCTCATAAATTTTGAAAATCCCAGCAGAAGAATAGAACCAAAAAGAGATTAAGAGTGGGGGATGGTTGTGGGCATACCATCTCCTATCTTAAGCTCCGCGGCATTCTCTTCCTCTTCTGTCGACATCTTCTTCGCGGAGTGATTTTTTTTGTTTCTTGGCAGCTCCAATATGAGTAATGCGGCTTTGTCTTTAAGACTTTAACTCTTCTTTTGTTATAAAATCATTCTCCCTCAGGTTTTTAATAAACTTCACACTTTCTTTTTTGGGACGGTCTAAATTAAAAACTTCACACTTCCTTATTTCCTTTTTTGACAAAGAAATCTACATCAAAACAGTGCAAAACAGTGCCAAACAGTGTCTCAACAGTGCCAAACAGTGTCTCTACAGTGTCAAACAGTGCCTCAACAGTGTACTCTACAGTAAAGTCAAATTCCTTTCCTTATTTTGTGTGAAGTCAAACTGTGAAGATTAAAAAAAACCGGAGGTAGTAAAATTTAGCAATAAAATAAATTAAAAATAAAAGATATTAAAATCGATGATATTTAAATACTTTATTGTGTTGGGTAAATGGCCCAGCACAGGCAGACCCAATACTCCAATAGGCAGAAAGGGCCAACAGCTTGATAAAGGGGACTTGGATCGGAGCAATGCGGGCTGGACGGTGGCTGCCGAGCAGCAAGTGTCGGGCGACATAGGATCCTTGAAGGTTCTCTTGATTGCCGCCAACGAACACATCTTTATCTTTATATAATATAAAGTAACAGTCGTTGCACCACAACTGGAGAGAAAAATCCCACCCAAAATATGGATAAAATAGGAAAGTAATGAAAAAAGTAAATTTGATGATTAAATAAGTTAGGTGTACGTTAGTAAATAAAGTTATAATGCTCCGTGCATTCAGCCGCCTATCCTTCCAAATAAAATCAGCCGCTTATTGTTTTCTTTTTTTCCAAAAATGAAATTGTTTTTCTTACCATACATATATACTACGTACCAAGCTGAAAAATTGAAACCTTAAAGGTAATTATTTTCATTCTAAAATTCAATTGAATTGGTCATATTAATGCTTATTCAATTTTATATAAACTGGCGGGTAACTGAATATTTCACCACCCAATTTTAGGTAATAAATAAATGCATTATACGTGTTAGAATATTAGTATTTAATAATTGTATTTAAATATATATGGTACACTGAGCATGTTCTGAATGAAGTGGAAATCATGTCCACAAAATTCAGCTTAAAATTCAATAGGAAAGTCGAGTAAAAAAGTTATCGAACCATACTATGCCAACAATATATATAAGTGCAGTATTTTTTTTACAATTGATGTAACTAACTTTTCGAATGAATATTAAGTTGCAATTTTGTAAATATAATCTAAACTACATTAACAACATGATCCCAAAATTTCATGAATAAATTCCACCGGAAATCTTTATCTTTGTATGATACTTCATATAAAGTACTCCGTAATAACGTTCACCGTACCCATTTTGGCTGCAATTTTAATAGAAATAGTTACATATATGACTAAAATACGTGTTGCATTATTTACAAAAATATGACCTTCTAAATGTGTATTTTTTTGTTAATATGATTTTTGTTAAACATATAGAACTCTTTAAAAGGCTAAATTGTTAAACGCACCAAAATAATTACTAATATGTATATACCGAGTATAATATAAAGAGTTGTGTATAATTAAGGGAAAAATTCCTAAATATGAGTAAAAAAGTTTAAAATTCTAAAATAGAGCTGCCATATTTTTATCCCTAAATAGGAGTAATTTCTGCCAGGTTTGACATTATTAGGATTTAAAAATGGTAGGTTCTGCCAAGTTTGGAAAAAACTTGGCAGAAATTACTCCTATTTAGGTAACAAAAACATGAAGGTCCTATTTTAGAATTTCAAAATATTTTTACTCCTATTCAGAAAAAAATTCTATATAATTAAACGATATTTTATCTTTACTTTTATTTTTATTCTGCCAATTTTGGCTTTATCGGGCTTTAAACATGAGTTTCTGCCAATTTTTTCTAAACTTGACAGAAATTACTCTTATAAAAACATGAAAGTCATATTTTAGAATTTCAAAACGTTTTTACTCCTATTCAAGACAATTTTTTCTATTATTAAACAACATCTTTATCTTTTATTTTTATATTTATATAATACTTCTAAGTGCAACAGTCTACTTTTCATGTTTGCTGATGTAGGACTTTGACTATTACAGAGTAATATATTATATATACTACCTTCGTCTCACTAACACTGACACAAGAGGGGTGACATGTTTAAGAAAAGTAAGTTTATGTGGTTGTGGTTGATATTCAATTGATCAAGTAAGAATAAAGTAAAAAAGATTTAGAAACACACAAGCTTTACCAAATTTGGTATGAGACAATCTTAATGAAATTTCCCGAAAAGGTAAAATGAGACAATTTTAGCGAGACGTAGAGAGTAGTATTCTCTATTAGTAAAAAAAACCTATTTTGATAATGTACAATAAGAACAAATTTAACATCATCATTTACAAAATAATTTATGAAAATATTAATGTTTAAAACATAGTCAAGGTAGAACATGTGAGTAGTGTAAAATTCAACATGTTGCGCGCTTATTTAGTTATGAACCGAGGAAATATAAGGTAACAAAGTTTGGGCAACTATTGGGGGGAAAACCCACCCAAACTAATGTCGTAATAGGGAATTAGTGTGAAACTAATGTAGAACACTAGAATATATATGCATCCCGCCCAAGAGTGTAGATCCAAAGTAATTTAAAATGGAGCATTTATTTCCATCTTATGCATGTATTGAGCTGTTGATTGATTAAATAATATTCAATACAAAATGTTTATGTTGGAAGTGAAAAGGAACGGAAATGAATTAATGTGAAATGTTAGAATATATATATATATATATATATATATATATATATATGCACCCCCTCATGAAATGGTAATGGGTTTAATATCATATTAAAAGATATTTTGGACTGATTTTAAAGATTTTTCGTTAATTTAATGAAAGAGTATTTCACGCATATCATATATGGATACCATACACGTTGAAAGAGAATTTCAATACATTTATAATAAGAACTTAATTAATTATTAATTTATCATTTCACTCTTATTCAATGACTATCATTGGTGCCGTCAGATAGCATAATTCCTTGCGAATATCGACACAAGCATTTCTCAATCGTTGTTTCATTTGACATGATAATAAACAAAAGATAAGGACAATCTTTGCATGAAGTGGAAATATATTTTGCGAGATATGTTATTGTGTATAGTCAATTGTATGTTGTCACGTCAAGGGTCATCTCAATGAGTGAGATGAAGATTCTTATATGTGATGATGAGGATCGTACTATTTACACCATCAATAATATGATCTATAAAGAAGTTCATAAATTTTATGAACCGTTTTTAACATCGTCAGCATATATGATTGTTCTATTTACTATGTATATATAAAGTTTCATGACACTCACTAACAATTATAGTACCAAGTTATTTAATTGTCACATAAAGCTTTTTTTTAATATATATTACGGAGTATCATTTATTTCTATTTTACTTTTCAATTTATGATACGATCCAAAATTTTATTTTGTTATACCTACTCCAACGTATATAATAAAAGTTACATCATATAAATCCTATCGCCTTTTTTTATATGAAAAATTACACATTATATACCATCATAAAACATAATTTTACATAAATTACTGGCTATTCAATTCTAGATATACCCCGTGCATCGCACGGGTACTTCGTCTAGTTACACATAGCTTTAGCAGGGGCGGATCCAGAAATTTTTGTTATTGGGGCACTCCTTAAGACAGAGTAAGAAAAAATTACTCTTTATATAATCATAAAATAACTTCAAAATTAATTGAAGTTATGTAGTAATAGCAAAATAAAAAATATTATTCCCTCCAACCCACAATAAGACTCGCGTTTCGATTCACGATGTTTGATTTATCGCGTTAACGGATTCCTGTTAATAATATGATTCTTTTTAGTAAATAAAATATAGGGAAAAGTACGGAAAACGTACTCGTGGATGAGCTCGTTTTCAGATGGCCTCATGTGTTTCATTCTTTATCAAAGTGGTTTATTTGTTTGAATTCCGTTATCACAAGAGGGTCACGCCGTTAAAAACGTCTGAAAAGGACTGTTAAAGGTAACTCCAATTTTCAAAAGTGTCCGGAAAATTAAATGAAAATTACCGAAAAGTGCGCCTCGTCAAGATGACCTCCAAACCACCTTCGCCTTTGGATTTTTCAGACCAGTTTGAATTATTTTTTTAAAATGATTTCGCTACTATCACTTTTCCGGTGGATTTTCCGGTGACAAGGGTGGCTAAAAACGGAAAAGAAAGATGACCTAGCGGTCGTCTTACTGAGGCGCACCTTCCGGTATTTTTTTTTAATTTTTCAGGCACTTTTGAAAATTCAAGTTACTTTTAACGATCTTTTCGGACGTTTTTAACGGCGTGACCCTCTTGTGATAACAAAATTCAAACAAGTACCTTTTCCGTACTTTCCCCTAAAATATACATATGACCATATCTGAAAACGGACACAACTACAAGTACCTTTTCCGTACTTTCCCCTAAAATATACACATTCAAAAACTACATCAAAAGTTGGGAAAATCGCACTTTTAGTCCCTGAAATAACCACCATATTGAAATGTTAGACCCGTATTTTGGAGATTGTAAATGTCACCCCTCAATTGTCTAAATTGTTGTAAATGTGGTTCTTTGAGGGGTGAAATATACTTCTCACCCACAGTGTACATTTCAACCCTCAAAGGACTCCATTTATATCAATTTGGTCATTGAGAGGTGACATTTACAAACTCGGGAATACGGGGTCTGACATTTCAATATTGTGATTATTTCAAGGACTAAAAGTGCGATTTTCTCTTACAACTTTTATAAAATCGCCAAGTAAAACTCAAATTTGACAAAAGTTAGATATAGAATTCAAAATATTAATAGGTTTGAGAAGTAAAATAAGAGACTTAAAAATAATAGAGTTTTTTTACAAAAAAAATATTACTAAAATAAAATTTATTTACATAAATATGACTATTAGTTACCATAATGTAGTGTCATAGTAACTTAAATTTAAAAAATGAACATAAGTGACTATAGTTTCATTACCGTACTACTCTAGTCATTAATCACACGTTTATAAATTGTCTTCTTTTTAGTC